ATCCCACAGCTCTTAATTTGGGAACTAGCACTGGTGGGGCCTTTTTACCTAAATTTTTCTCTGTATCTGTTCTTTTGAGTGAATGGGAGATAATACCTTCTATTTGCTTTATTACACAAGTTTCCAACAGAACACTTATTAATAGTTCTAATTATTCAGGTCACTAATCATAAATGGCTCAAAAGAATTCCAAGATTATAGTTTTGTTTTCCAAACATGAATTACAAGGCCCACAATAAATAAGGCTCAATGCCACACACTGAGTAGCAAAGAGAAAACTAAATATTGTAAGTACCAGTAATGACTGAGTACTAAATAAGGAATGGGTCCCATAGAAAAACCAGTATGTGATCATATTTCACAATGCATACCCACAAACAGCCATATTATACTGAGGGAATGAAGGCATGGACTCCAGAGTAAGTGCGCAGGTGGAATCGGAAACGCTTTATTGTGATCACACAGGATATATATATCTTCTAGGCAGACAGTACACGCTACACAAGGTTAACACGAATACCTAACTAGATTCTAATTGGTTTACTTGGTCCTGTCCATGCGCTGGCCACGCAAGTCTCTATTGGTCTCTTCAGCTCCCAGAGCCTCCTCTTATCAGCTCTACATTCCCCTTTGCTGGCTTGTTTATCACTCTGTCCTTGGCTTGTCCTTTTCATGACCTCTAGTGTACTGCTGTATTAAACAGCTCCACATCATCCCCGAACAAGTCACCTACACTATACACACTATGTTCAACTGGGCACTTCTTCACCACTTGACTCACCTCATTTTACAAACTCAGTATTTGTGGAGTTTTTAATGTAATTAATGTATAACAGAATGTTACTTGCATACTTTTTCAATACTGAATTTCTCAGGAGTGAGATTTTATAAGTATAAATGATACATAAAGTGCTACATTACTGGAAAGTAAGATAACAACCCTGCATGAGGACTTTGTCCAAACTCAAGCTTTTGCTAAAACACATGCAAGTTCAAAGCCAAGCAGACCCTCACACTACAGCTGGTGCGTAACAGAAAGAAAGCAGCATAGGCACATGTATGTAGCCTGCAGAAAGGACTGCTTAATGACAGGGACACATTACTGTCCTCAGTCACTGAAGGTCAATATTTATGTTATTATTTAGGCTTACTTATGGCACTGAGAAAACCTGATGACAGAGGAGCAAGGAACTGGTCTCTTAGTTAGTAAAGTTTGCTTTTGTAGACAGTTAACAACTTGACAGCAGTGAATATACAGGCAGTGGTGGATTAATAACCCTACATAATGAGTCACAGTAGAACATGAACAAGAAATGCAATTCAAATTGCTGAGAAAACAAATCAGGCAATTAAATGCTACTACAAAAATAGAAATTTGACCAGGACACCAATGCTTAGGTACTTACATAAGGTATTACGCGATTTTCAGTGACTGCAGGTGGACAAGACCTTCATGATATACTGTATACACTGTATACACTGAGTGTACCTTTCTATGGCACACTGTGTCCTTGTGTAATGCTGGAGTCACTGGGCCTTACTGACTAATAACAGAAGTCTTGGGCATAGAAGCTTTAGATTTATGTTGCAGTTCTGCAGCCAGATGTGAAAAATCATAGACTTCTACAAAACTGACCACAATGTCATGGCTCCTTAGCCCAGGAATGACATTGACTTTTCTTTTTTTTTAAACACATTTTTGGGCAGTACACAGTATCCATCAGCAATACCATGATATGAAAAAGCAATCATTCATTTAATTGAAGTCAGAAACGTATTATTTATCAAAACAACTGTTATTAGAAAAAACACACTATTTCAGTATTATCAGTGTATTTTATTCTTAACCACATGCAAGAACCTGGAAATGCAAAAATCTTGTTTAATTTCTATACTAAATTTCTACGCAGTGGAAAGACTTCTACACTAAAACAGGTACATAGGTTTTTTCATCTGAGTATTATTTTGAGCTAAAACAATCCAAGTACCCCATAATATGTCTTACCTAGTAATTCATACAAAGAATTCAGAATAGATTTCCATGCTTCTCCAGCTTCCTTCCCAGCTACATCTGCAAAATGAGCTGCACTGCTGTATACATTCAAGCGATCAATACATTCAAGAACAAGGTTGATCATACCCTAAAAAAAATGGAAGGGCTCAGATTGTCACAGAAAAAAAAAAAAAGTATTGCAAACACATAAGATTTTCAGAAAGCTAAGAAAAACAAAACATGAAAGGCAGGATATGCAAAACACAAGAATATACACATGGAGTCAGACAAGTGGAGTCAAAAAAGCAATCTCTACCGAAAAGTTTTCCTTGACTATGATAATAAAAATTTACCTTTTAGGGTAGTCAAAATAAAACAAAAATAAACAGTATGCCAGACATAATTTTAGGCAAGTTTCTTTTCTAGAAGGCATTTATGCACTCGACTAATTACAGGCAACTATCACTACCAGAGAAATAACAAGACAATATTAAACAAAATACTTAAAGCATACTTATTAAACCAAAACATCTTTCTGCCTCAGGAGATTAAACTGTAACAGAAGAAACTAATTCACACATAAGGAGTAAATTATAGTTAGAGTTCAGGGCACAAGGTCATATTAATATCTAATTTTTTTAAAAAAGGAAAAGGAAGGCCTTAAATATATTTCTTTAAATATACAAGAAAATCAGCACATCTAAAGACATTATAAATGCAGCAAATAGTTTGACTCTTACACGACCAAAAAAACCATTGCAAACATACTCCAGACTAGATATCAATGCTACAGACACTGAGATAGAATACTTGCAGACAATGTGGTGGAAAATCAGGAGTAAAACTGAGAAGTACCTCTTCCTGGAAGAGGTTCTGGCGATTCTTCAGTGCTCGGAGCCTGTTTTGTTTGTCTTCATGCTCCAAATGTTCATCAGGGGGGTGAAAGTAGCCAATCAAGTCCTGAAGGCTCAGACTGACTGACTCGATAGGCAAATCAACAGTGGAAGACTTCACTTTCTTGCTGAGAGCATCAAGGCCCCTACAAGAAGATGCAAAGTCTCAAGAGTATCAGAAATTAATTTATTTTATTGTTTAAAATTGGTTTCAAAACAAAGTTTGTTTAGATGCCAAAGCTCAATTCCTTTTCTGACAGCTATGTAGCTTCTCAACAAAGATTTATGTCTGCCCTATTCTCCACTTAATGATCCACCCCTCCCTTCCCAAACATAAACTGGAAGCATCAAAAAATTTATTTCCCTTACATTTTTTTTAAATTTGGAAAACACATTTTAATATTCTACCTACATATTTAGCGGTATCAGAGACAGACCAAAAGATGAAGAGAAGTTATTGTAAACCTGTTCAAATCATCAAAGCATCACAAGGCTGGAGTGGACAGAAATCAAAAACCAGTCCTATGGTGCCAAAGAGGGCCCAGCTAGTCCATACAGGCTCTAAAGCATGTCTCTAACCTGTTCTTAAGACACATTCAGTGCTGGAAGATGCAGCTCTTCACATACTCTGTCCCAGCACTTCATGAGCCTTTTTGTTTCCTTGATAATAAAACTCAAGCTTGGCCTTGCTGTAGTATATGACCATTGTCTCCTAGGAGTGGGGGGCAGACCATTCTCATCTGTGTTGCACCTGCCCCTTGCTTAACTGAATCCCCAACAAACCCCATAATCCAATTTTTCCTCAGCACTGTGCTTTCCGAACCCTTGATATACCTTTCTCCTCCATTTAAACCTCATCTTTCTTGAAATGTGGCTGTTGCAGCTGAGACCTCAGCAGTGCCACACAGCAAGTGGAAGGCAAGGGCTTTTCCTTGCACCCCCCTGGCTCCTCTCAGGAAGGCAGTGGCAGGCAGGTGCTGCCTCTGCTGAGGGCTGCAGGGAGGCCCACCAGAACCTTCTGGAAGGAGCAGAAGGGGCCATGAGGGACAGAGAAACCAGGGGTGCTGAGGGCCTGCGAATATAGTGCCAATCCTCAGGGAGGAGGGAAAGATCTGGAGGATCCTGAAACTCCGCAAGAGCCAGGCAGGGCCCCGAAGTGCTGTGAGAGGAGCAGCCCTGAAGGGAAGGGCCCTCCCTGGTGGCACACAGTGGGGGACAGCAGGAGGAGGGGGCTTTACTTGACGCTCATGATTTCTCTTTTGACTCATTCTCAATTCTGCTGTCATAAAAGCTTTTTTTGCTAGCATATTTTTGAGTAAAATCCAACTATGTAGCAAAGAGGTCCTTTTTGTTTTCATCCATGCTCCATTTATGCTGACCTAAAGACCACCAAGCTCCAGCTGGCAGAGGAGCCCACCATGTCCACATGGGCACCCTCCCAGCCTTACTCTCATGCCCTCTTTTCTTTTGTTAGAGGCACCAAAGGTGCCTGGCAACCCGACCCACAACCAACCAGGCCACGATATGGAGCAGAAGCCCCATTTTATACTCTGCTTTTGCTGGATTAAGACAATGCTGGTAAGTATTGGGGGGAGGAGGGGGGAGGAAGAAGGAGATGGTTGTTGTTTTGTTGGTTGTTTTCGGATTTTTTTTATTTGTTTTGGTTTTTTTTAACTGGCACATCACTATTTTAATCTCAAATAGTGTACTAGGGCTGGAAGAAACCAACATTTAGGAAACAACATGTATTTAGTAGGAATATTTACTACTGAAGAATAAAAATCTCTAGAAAAAATAACGCAGTGTTTCAAAAAGCCACAAAAGTTATCTTTAAAATGTAATTTCTATTGTGAGCATATTATTTGAAGTGCAATTTTTGTACTGACTTTGTGGGAAAGAACTGGGGCACAACGCTTAAGAGAATAATCTTGATCCTTTGCAATTCATCTTTTTTCTTCTTGGAGTAATATCCTGCCAAAACTAAATTGTTAAACACCACCTTGGACTCCCCATGCACTCTGCAAAAATCTCCACTGTAATCTAGCAGTACCTTGATTTGTGAAACCTTATCATTAAATTGCCTATCTCTGTCCTTATCTTTTATGGCATTCTTAGAAACTTCTAAGAAAATGTGTTATTTACAAAGTGACCTAGGGCTTACATTTCTTTTGTATTGTAAATGTCATACAGTAGGTAATTCTTCTGACAGGCATTTTTTTCTCTGTTTTGTTTAAGTACCTGGGTAAATGTTTTTTAACAAATTGACATGTCTATGTCTTCAGCTGCCCACCAATTTAGAACATGGTTGCTTCAGGTCACCATCTCCCACATTGTCCTCACTTGTGACAAATGAGTTCCCATTAAATTCTTATCACTCTATACAGTCTTATTGCGTATCATCCTTTTTCTAATGCCAGTTACACTGATGAGAGGGGCCTTTCATCAATTACTGAAGTCACAAACATTTGAGAATTACCATTTTATCAGTGTTATTTGGGAGGACTTTTGGGTAGGAAGATAAATGCAAATTGAATAAATCTGGCCATATTTTTAAATGGCTGAAAATACTATAAAATAAAACATTTTATACGTTGCAAAATACTAAAGAAACAAGTACCATTAGAAGGGAACAAATAAGGAAAAGGAAACGGGCGGGTAGAAAGAAGGCGTAATATCATACTTTTAAAAAAAACTTTTTCTTGAGACCATTCTTCAGCATAGTTATGTCTTGTACAAGTTTGTAATTATACAGTTATCTCCTTCTTCCAGGTTTTTCAAGGAAGAGCACTTCTAAAAACCATACTTAGAAAATAAAGAGCCAAATGATGCACTGCATGACTTACAGCAAATTTTGGCAAGGAAAAATCTCTCTTTTATGGTTTGTTTGTATTTTCAACATGTTTATGGATTCAAATCAAGGTTGAACAATAAATTAGAAGAGAAAAGAAACTGACCAAAACTTCTCAAGGTAAATCTCTGCTAATAACAGAAAGAATTGGCATAAAGTCTGGTTTAAGAAGCATTCATCTGCTTTTTTCTGAGGGCTAAACTGTTCACTGTTGTGTTAATGGCCACTTTGAATAACATAAAAGAGGGAAAAAAAAGAAAAGAGATTAAAAGTTCATTTTAAAAGCACACCTTATAAACCTATTGAAAAGGAAGACTGTACTACGGATGACACGTGCTGTACGGGATTCTTCATTCTGAGATCTGGACAATGTTAAACCGTCATCCATGTGACCTTCATGGTGCATTACAGCCTGCAATACAAAAATAAAAAGCAGTCACTGCAAAATGAAACATTATTCACAAATAAGTAGTATGAAAACTCACATAGTTAGGCAGGCTACAAAAAAAAAAAAAAAAGAGAATTTAATTAAAAACAGATAATCCTGTGTTTTATTTTCCAAGGACACACTTGCACCAAGCCAGCAGGTTCAGTGCCGTAATAATCTCAAAGCCACAGCTTCTGTAAACAATATACTTTATTAAAAATAATTTTAAAAAAATCAAAAGTCTAAGGGCTTTTTGTTTGTTTGTCAACCTTAAAAATAGATCCCTTAAAACAGCAGCAGATCCCTAAAGTACACACAAGGTCAAAACAGGTATTCTTTACTGGGTCTGACTTCCAAGGATGTTAACGGCCTTCTTTTCTGACCATTCCTGGAGTCAATACCAATAACTTACGGTTTTTCACATTTAGTTATCATGGCTCTGAAGGCATTCAATCCAATCTATATAAATATTTTAAACTGGTTTAGGTTAAAATGTTTTTTTCACACACACACAAACTATTTATATTACTTATGTTACTAAATTATTCAATAATGTATCTTAGTTTGAATTATTTCAGGATTATTTAAGTAAGTATTACAAATACTATAATTAATTCAATTAGTTCTATTAGTATTATGATCACTAAAATTTTACATGCATATAAACACTGTTTCCTAAATATATATTTTATATAAAATATTTTAGAATATATATGTGTGTGTATATATACAAATATATGATACAGACAAATTAAATACACATATATATGTATTTAAAATTATAAGGCATGACCTTCTAATTATACCAGGTGCTGGTCTAGCTTTGTAGTTCTGGCGTGTAAAACAGTCACAGAAAATACTACAGCATGGATACGCATCATGTTTTATTTTATTTTATTTTTCAAAAGATTGCTAAAACATTTTTTCCTTGCTGAGAAATAATTTCCTGCAATAAACACTAACACAAATGTAGCTTCTGGAAGATGTGTTAAGTTGCAAAAGAATATTTTTCCTACTTTACTATGCTGAGCGAGCATTCTGCTTGGAAATGGTTATTCTTTAAGAGAAGAAACCCCACAGGTCTCAAGACTTGAACACTCCAGCCCAAACGTTAATATGCTCATGATGCGGAAAGAAAAGACTTTGAACTAAAAGCCTCCTTAATATAAACTACAGCAAACTGAAGAAAGAACTTTTAGCATATTCTACAGGCTACTGTTAATATTTTAGTTTGATATCAAGTATATCCAGATTTATCAGTGTTTGTGGGTTAATGTCTATAGGCTAACACATGCACTTTATTTGGCTTTCAGTTCAAGAATTCATTACATTACATAGTTTTTCATTATGTGACTAAAAAGAAATGAAGACATGCTTAAAATATTTTAGACCCAGAAATCAGCTGTCCCCTGTAGTTCCCTTTGTTCCACCCCCCCGCCCTATCAGACCATGACTGAATGAAATACATTCCTATTTACAGCCTTACCTTTCGCTGCACAGAACCCATTCTTACTGACTTTGCATCAGCGGACTGGTACGTGAGCCATAAGCCTCTATCTACATGTTGTATGAAGCATATTGAATCTCCGTATTTTATTTCAGGTGCTCCCATTCCATCCACCTCTTTTCTTGTCCCTATGTCCAACTTTTCCTGAAGAAGAAGAAGAAAAGAAAATGTATACCAAAACAATAACCAACATGTTAATATTTCCATAAAATATTGAATACTAGGCAATTGTTCAGAACAGGATCTAAAAGAATATTTGAGAATCTTCTTTAATGAAATTATTAAAAACTGGCAAAAGTGCAACTTCTAGTTAAATATTTAGGCAAAAGATGGAGAGAGAGATCCCATCCACACAAAAACTAGCTTATTACACTAGAGAGGCAGGTGTATTCATTTCACCTGCCTAGGAAAGAACAAGTACCATAACTGACCTTACATGTCATTATTGAAACATAAAAGCTTACAAAACAAGACCAAACACATTGGGGATTTTTTTCTCCCAGCCTGGAAAAGATGAGCACCTCCTTACAGTTTATTTCTGACTGTCAGAGAGAGATGGTCTTTAACCTGTCACTGCCCATTACTGCCCAACAATGGGCTCAGTATTTCCTGAGAAAAGAAATCAATTTTTATGTGTTTGTGACTGGCCTCTTGACATGCTTTAACAGAAGAATGGCATGACCATGAATCAGTCCAGCTGGTCTCCTATACAGACAGCAGTTGCTTCAGGAAAGAATATTTAGTGTCCCAAACAATACTAGAGTCTGTAATTTGAGGTATTCCCCAAAATCTAGCTCTTCCCCAACTCCTTCCCCACAGACCTCAGCTGATACGACAGACAGCCGATCATCCATTTCATCTCTCCAAAAGCATATGGTTCAACCGACCAATATCTCTCTTGCCTGCTTGCACTAGTTGGTAAGTATGGAAAAAACCTGCTACAAAGGCTCTTGTTATATATCTTGTTAACTGTAGGAAGGATGTTAATGTAGTTATGCCCAAAACTCCTCAGAGGACTTTGACCTTCACTGCAAGTTCCTGAGGCTTTCGCCACAAGCTCCATTTCAAGCAAAAATCTTATCCATTGGGAGTAACCAAAACCACTTTGACTCATTAGTTCTGATTCATGTGATCAAATTATTGATATAGAAACTATTATCATTCTTCTGGGAGGAGAGGGAATACATCATAATTGTTGCAATTGAAGCTGAGACTACTGTAATGCTGCAGTTCTTGTTTTGCTCTCCCTTTCACAACTTCAACAGTGCAGGCAGGTTCCACCAGTGCAGTAATTCCTTGTATTCTGCGTCTATATATGCTCATACGTGCCCAAATAAGAAGCTGCTTAATTTTCTCTACTGTTCCAAAAATCATCTGTGTGAATTGCAGGCCATACATTGAGGGTGGAAGATGCTCCCCTCAACAAAACACAGCTGCAACCTTCTCTGCTTCTCCTGATCAGCAGTAGAGGACCAGCCACTTCCCCTCAGTTCCTCAGGGTAACATTGCAAATAATGAGACAAAAACTTCTAAATGTTCTATTTAACTACAATCAGGAAAGATTATGAGAATAACAATCTGTGGAGACAGAAAGCACTAGAAAAAAAAAATTATTATTACTTTTCATAACATTAAGGTTCCAGATGTAATCTATTCATTAATTCAGATTATTAAACTGTTTCTGGATAAAGATGTTAATTTCACTGTCTTGTAAATGTCTGATTCCTTAAGTGCTGAAACTCTTATTAAAATCTTGTCCATTGATAAATGGTAATAATTGATTTATTAATACATCTGATGCCAGTTACTGAGTTACTGTGTGCTTCTATTTCATTATTAATTCATTATTTTGTTCATATTATTTCTCTGAATGTTGTATTCACCTCTTGTATTCATTTCAAAAGCTAGCACAAATAACCTGAATGTAGTAACAGCTGGAAACTGAAAACCTACTTACAATAAGACATAGCACACAAATGATGGTACAGGAAAAAATAAATTAGGTCCTGCTCTCATGTGAAGAAATGACAGCCTGATTTCAAGCTCCAGTCTTTTGAATTATCTTCATAACTAGAAGATAGTGTGAACGTACTGGGCTTCTACATTGCAGGATTCTTTTTCTCCAAGTCTTCCTCCTCACAACCAACTTCTTAAGATATGATTATACGAATTCACAAATTTTCTCATAAAGCACTGCCAATAAAATAAAGGATTATTAATTTAAAATATTATTTCATACTTTTTAAAAATCTACTGACTGTAACAAACTGAATGGGTTTGATATTGCAATCTTCATTCCAATTAGATTTAACATTAAATTTACTCAGCATAAAAATTGCAGTGCCAACAGTTTGCCAAACAAGATCTCTGTACGTACAGTGACAACTCTGTGTGTAGGTTTGGAGCCCAGACTGAATTCAATCACATTCAGTTGAGCTCTTTCCTGCAAATAAACACAGCAGCCAGGAAAGCATACAGTAAAAGTTGGATTGAATACAGGATAGAAGATGGAAAGCTAGGGGATGGTGTGGGAGCAGCAGGCATTAGGGCATTCATCAAGACATCGAGCATTTTTGGGGAGTGAACAGGAACCACAAGTTGTTCAAAAGGGGGAAGATTTGAATGGAGTACTGGATTCATGCCAATAAACAGTAGGTGGTTGAGAAAGTACATATAATGGATCAATCTCATTATCTACTGTAAAATAGTTTATCAGTGAAACTCAGGATCTGAAAAATATCAGAAATCACTATGTCACCATTTAATAATTGCACATTGGTACAGACATTACATGATGTTTACAGCCCACCGAACTCTTACCAAACCCCATCATTACATAACCATCTGCTACTTCTTCCTACAGTATATTTACAAAGGAAAGCTTCAGTTTTATTTGCAGTCCCATATTTGTAGGCCCATTTTCAGATCAACTTTTTTTAAACAAAGATCAAAAGTCTTGATTCATTACCTTGGAAGAAACAGAAACAATTGGGTTTGGCAACAGTCTTTAAACCACCTCAGTAATGCAAAGCAACAAGAATGCACTGGAAATGCACAGGTTTATTGAAAAATATGCTAGTTTTTCTCCAGAAGGATGTGCTCTTTATAAACAGCTTTTATTCCATGTATACAGGATCACAAGCCAATCTTCCCACATTATTTGTAGGACGAGTGGACAACATAATTTTAATTGATTTTATCTTAATGTTGAAAAAAGTTATTCTATGAAGCCTAGCCTTAAATGTGTTGTTTCACTTGAATGCTTCTGTTTAGTTCCTTGTAACATTCCGACAAAGATTCCCATGATTAAGGCTTGTCCTTTCAATTTTATCTCCTGTCACCTGAGCCAACCTATACCTTCTGTAGCACATTTTCAGGACTGACATTCTAGCAGATCTCACTGACTGGAAGAAGCTAATTCATGACTGTTTTTTAAGCCAATGTGAATATATATCCTATTAAATTTTATTAAGCAACAGGTGAAGACATAAAAATATAGACCATAAACTTTTATTAAAATTGGTGTGCTTCTGTCCACCAGAAAAGACTGTGGACAGGAAAAGCAGACTTTATATAAAATGTATAAACATCTCTAAATTAGGAAGATTACCTTATTTCAGTGGAAAAGTGATATTAAGCTAAAACATTTTATCAAAAAGAACCAATATTCATCAAATGTGAAAAAAAAAACAAACATAGGACTTAATCACTACAAAGTAAAGTCTATAAAAGAGCCATATATTTGGAGAACAAATTGTAGGTATCTGTGGACATCCTGTGCTGAGTGAAGAGAGACTACAAGAGAGAAAAGAAGAGTTTTCTGAATGTCAGATGCGGGAAAGGCTAATATAATTCTCATTACTGGGTCAACAGATAATAATCAGAGCATAAAACCCAATTCCCAGGAAAAAAAATGAAGAGACTATTAGCTCTTCAGAATACCCATATCTTCTGAGTACTGTTTGGCTTGTGATGTTCTTAAGCTTTCACTTTTCTTTATTTTGCCAAGATATTTAAAGAATTATAACATGTTAAAAGATTCTGATCTAATTTTTCAGCTTCTGTACCAGAATGCTGTGATCTGGGGGGAAACAAAAAAAAGTATATATATGTGCGTGTGTGTGTGCATGCGTGTGTGTGTTACTTTGAGCATCTGAGAAAAAGTATTCTGGTTCATACAAGACATCTTATAAAAAACTTCAGCTTTCTGGTTCTCTTCTTATTTTTTAAATGCAGTACTGGCAAGCTAATGTGTTTAAACTTGTGAGTAAGGCCCTTGCAAATAATAAGGTTAAAACCAACAATACGTGTTGAGCATTTATATTTGTATTTGAATCTTCAGATTTACAGGGGATACATTTTCAATATTTTCCCTGCAAACATGAAAGTTGCTTTTCATTTGGAAACTGAAATTATAATCTGCTCACATGCCTGAAGGAACTGAGTCTTTAACACTGCAAATAAGGGTATTTTCCCCCCATATCTGCTTTTGCCTATTTAGAGCTAACTTATCTATAGCACAACAATTGGGATCATCATAATTCTTCCTTCCACTACCTGAAAAGTAGTGGAAAGTACCTTTTTCAGGTAGCAGAAGGAAGAATTATGACTGTGGCAAAAAAGGACTGAAATTGCTATAAGAAAGATCTAGCCACTTGACATACTCCCACTATTAATGCTCTGTATTCAATACAGAAGATTAGCGGCTGCCTTTTATCCAGGAATAACAAGTTTGGGCTAACTTCACGCAACAACACAAGTGAAAGGTTGGTGTCCATACGTGCCTGCAGGAAAAGAGACCCCCAAAGCTGCTTACCTTCTCTACAGAAGCCTATCTAGGATTGCTATGATTTTGATATATTTATTTAATGCTCTTTTCCAGAGAGGGAAGGTACATAAAATTTTGTAATGCCTGTATCCTAATAAAGTGAAACATGGCACTCCGTCATGAAACATGAGGACAGTCCTAAGCAGGAGACTGGATTCATCCTCAGCAATGAAGAGCAAAAGATGCCTCACCTGTGGCATCTCCATAATTCCTTCCAGATATAGTCTTTAGTTAAAATTAGTGTTTAAAATTAAACTGACAACAAATACAATCTTCCAAATTTCCAATTTCTTTGAAAATCCATATTTCGATATCAGTAAGATTATATCTGTCATATACACACGGCATATAGACCCCTCTTAAAATAACTCACGTTTCTTCAAGAATTGACTACTGTAACATGTTTCTACATGCCCCAAAGCCTTTTATCTCTGCTCTGCTCAGTATAGAATAGGTTTGGTCACTTAACAACAACTAAATAAAAAATGTGAACTTTTGAGTTTGAACATGGTAGAACAAACCCACTTCAAAATATAAATCTTCAAATTACTTCCAAATAAGACTTTCAAACTTAGGTTGAAAAAAACAAGTGGAGAAACTTCAAAACCAACATTGTCTAATCCCCAAAACATGTGCATAAGCTACTTAGAAAATAGAGACGAACCACCTTCTCCATATCAACAAGAGATACACTGTCTTGCTAAGAATTCTTGCCTTCAGGTATATTTTGAACCATTTAACGGTTGAGGGCAGTATATTGTTCCACTCTTTTTGGAGTGACCCCAACTGAAGACTCCATCTTGAGAATCAGTGAATGAATTATTTTATCCCTCTTGCTTCAAAAGAGAGTAACTATTGAGTACTATACTAACTGCAACAGGAACTCCCCAATATAGTTGGACTACATTGTCCTAAAATATTGAAGTATTTCTATGGCTTTTCTAACTGGTTTAAAAAAAAAAAACAAACCATTGTCTAGGTCTCAAAACAATCACCTGAACTAAAGTCTTTGTTATCTGTCTAGAGTGCAAAAGTCTCTATACCTGCTTTCAGGTATATACTCATTTCTTATCTTCCCAAGCAGACAAATAGTTAAAAATTGTGTTGGGTTTGCATGGCAAGGTTTTAGTAGCAGGGGACCTACAGGCTTCTGTGCGAAGCTGTTGGAAGTTTCCCCATGTCCAACAGAGCCAGTGCCAGCCAGCTCCAAGATGGAAACGCCGCTGGCCAAGCCCAAGCACATCAGCAACAGTGGTAGCACTTCTCGCATAACATATTTAAGAAAAGGGAAAAAAAAGAAAAAAACCCCAACCTGCGTATTTGCAGCCAAAGAGGAGTGAGAATATGTGAGAGGAGCAGCCCTGCAGACACCAAGAGCAGTGAAGAAGGAGGGGAGGAGGTGCTCTGGGTGCCAGAGCACAGATTCCCCTGCAGCTCCTAGTGCAGCTCATGGTAGGGCAGGCTGTTTCCCTGAAGCCCATGGAGGGCCATGGTGGAGCAGATCTCC